TGGATGGCGCCACTGGTAGGCCCTACCTATTTACTTTCCCTCTGTTGTTTCTGTCTGTCTGTCTTACTTTTCCCAACACTGAATGATCATTATTGTGTCGATTTGCTTCTTTTTACTCAAACAAATTTATAACAAACAAACAGACAGACAAACCAAAAAGCCACAGAGCGTGCATCACTCAACCACGGGCTGTGCCACAGAGAGCAACAGGCTGAGCAAGCCACAGACATATGTCCACGTCACAGGTGGCCGCATTATGACCTCTGACGTCAATCTCACGACGACTCCACAGGAAGATATATATGAGCAGGAGCTGATCAGAAGATTGTCAAAATCAAAAGATAGGTTATAGTCAGAAGATGGTCAAAAGATAACTAAAAGTAGGAACTACAAAGAAAAATACTTAATTTCCTAAAAGCAGATTTTCCTCATAATAGGATCAGAAAAGCTGTACAAACGATAGACTGCCTCGTTCAAACCATTAAAATCTGACAATAAATTTGAAAAATTAACACGGTTCAAATTCATTCTAAACGTAAAAACTTTCATACCATATGCAAAACTAGGAAAAAGCAGGACTTTAAATAGTCACACAATCATATAATGACATTAATGCACATACTCATGTATTGTGTCTTCTTGAAGTCGAGGACAATATTTGGGGCATGCAAAGACTAAAATTACCCTCAGGCTTATAATAATTCCGATTCTGTAAACCCATGAATATTATGAAAATGGCTTTTTTAGTGCAATTATTGCTTGCTATACCCGGTGCCACAAAATGCCAATTTCAGAGGCCTGTTGCTTGGAAAGTTATTATCCTGTGAAGTCGAAATTTCGTGATGATAATAATACAGGGTACAGGCTGAATTCTTTTCAAGCATAAAACTAAGAATCTTTGAAATGACTTTGAAATCGTGGAAATGACCGAATGATTCATTTCGCACCTTGACAAATAGGACGCGCAAAAGCGTATCTTTGTAAGAGCAAACTTTTCATAAAATTATTATTACTGACATCTAGGCGGGTATTTCACATTTATATGTAATCTAGCATGCTGAATGAAAAACTGCCTTTAGAATTAACATACAACTACTTTTAAGCTTAAAGAAAAGTTAATACACACTGATACTGGCCTAGATCCACACTTCTACAGATTTTCTTGATAAAATTAAGAAGACTATATGTAACGTTATTGACATAATAATAACTAAATCAGAAATGACTCATTACTAGTGTTAAAAGTATAAACTATTTTTTAAAGTACAGCGCAAGAAAAAGTCTCATTTGGTAGTTTATTATATCTATAGTGTGGTCAAAAATTTGTGGCGCGACTTATCCTCAAATATCATTTTAACGGGTGAATCAGTGTCACCCAAACTTTGCTAAGCAGTTTGTATCAATTTGTCTTCACTTAAAATCATATTTTCCACAACAATTGAGGATAGATAATAAAAATAATTATAAAATACTTCAAATCTCCTTCAATCAGAAAATGGAATTGTTCACAGCACTTCCCGCTTCTCACACACATTTTGCGTATGCATATAAAATGGCCGGCGTCACAGCTCACCAATGACAGCAAAACAAGTAACAAGAAATGTATTTTATAATGTTCGCAAACTCGCACAGTTGGTTTACCTATTAAAAGATGGTTAAAAGTTGGTTAAATGATAGCTAAAAAGATAGCTAAAAGAAGGTTAAAACATGGTCAAAAGATAGCTAAAAGATGCTTATACGGTGGTTCAAAGAAGGCCAAAGACGTTCAAAAGATGGTAAAAATTAAGAGACGGTCAAAGTGATAATAATATGGCTAAAAGAGAGCTAAAAGATAGTTACCAGATAGTCATAAAATAGTCAAAGACTGTCAAAAGATAGATAAATGATGGCAAAAAAATATTTTTTGAGCCCCCAAACTTCAAAATCATGCTTCAAAACGTCATAAATCCTTAATAATAGCTGTACCGTGGCCTTAGAGGTATCATTTTGTTTATCTTTTTAAAATGTTTTAAAGAAACAATGGAAATCAAATATTATTGAAAAAAAGATTATTTATCCTTTAATGGCATCTGGTAACAACCGAGTGATGTTGCTATAGTGTGAGTACCGTGAGCCGGCTGAATTGGCGCAGGCCATAAACTAGAAAAAAAAGTCACTACTCACATTGTTGAAGACCTGTTGCTGTCGTCGCGTCTTCTATTGTACTCACAGCCGCAGTGCGAGGCGTAGAACCTAACAACCCGTGAGCGTACAGGATGTGCGTAGAGGAAATTGTGTCACAACGCGATGGAATCAGGCGCTCGTCAACTTTTAGGCATACGGAGTTATTAGTATAATCGTACATCCTGTTCATTTGCCTTGCTGTTGATTAAAAAAACAAAACAAGAACCATCTGTCTGAATATAAGTATTATAAGTCAAGATACTTGCAATTGGACTGGGGGGGGGGGGGGGGGTCGCTTGGTGTCATTGGTAAAAATAGCGAGAAAATGGTCGCCTAAGTTAGATAATTTCCAAGTCCTGGGTGTCCTTGGAAACTGGTCAAATTGCCTAGTAGGAAGAAACATGTCAATGTCTCCCAGTTCATTATTTTGTCGAGCTCCTGATTTCACCATGTTACGACACAATTGTTTTGTCAAAACGTGGTGCAGAATCCTGTGTGGTCAAGCATAACAGGTTACCCGAAACTAATTGTTTGTTTGCATGTTTGTTTGTATGAGTAAAGGGCTGCATATCGACACGAAAATGGCCATTTAATGCTGGGGACACACACACACACACACACACACACACACACACACACACACACACACACAAACACAAACACAAACACAAACACAAACATGAGACCTCTGAGTGACCCTCTCGATTAGATATCATAAGCGACAACAAGGGTATATTGTTGAGCCTCTTTGACTGATCATGCACAAATCAGGATCTGTTCATAGCCCCAGTGGGCGAGATATTACTTAACGGCAGACGTTTATGATACCAGGAGCTTTGGAGGGCAATGACTAGATTTCTCCTCTGATATTTTATTTTCTTTAAATGGTATAAGCTAAGTTCAGCTTAATTACAAGAATTGGCCTATGAATCAATTCATTGACTTTTATGAGAAAGCTCCATGTGGCAACATGACACGAGGAACTTTTCAGAGAGAGGTCTTCCTGTTCGGGGTTTTTTGTGATATAAGCTAATTATAGGTTAACAGGGAAGGTTTTGAGTGAATCTATTTACTTTTATGATAAAATAGCTCTTTGGGGGGGGGGCATGTTACGGGGACAAGCTTTTTCAACAGAAATTATTGAAATTTAAACCTCAAACTTGACACACAAATCCTCAAACTCATTATCTGTGATCATGGGAGGAGATTATTTTCTATCATAAAAAAACGACAAATCAGCCATTTATCACCGGGTGACTTCCATGAAAAAACAAGTACAGTGACAAAAATCCAGGAATATATTTTTTAAATGGAAGTGTGTATAGCCGCTCGTCTACATGAGCGGGCACAGCGGGGGTAACCGCTCGTCCAACATAAATAAATGATGACGTCAAACTCATGTTTCACAGGCTTCTTCCGGTGATAACGTATCTCTGAAGTATCTCGCTCAAGAGTGAAGAGTGCCAAGTCCGGACAATAGGCCTCATTTCCGGTCTATCTGACTCCACTTAGAAACAACGATTATTGCATATAAACAAACGACACGAAAACAAGAGCGCGCTGTTCAACTCAAGTACTAGTACTTAGATATTTTCATGATATTCGTGGCTGTTTTGCTTTGTCTGTTTCCATGTAAACTGTTTGGACATTATTTTAACAGTTTGCTTTTTTTGTTCTCATTTTGAATATATTGAGCTAAAGAGAAAAAAAGCAGAGACATTACATTACCTTAGGGCTTAGAGATTGGATACAAATATAGGTCAAGCCCTTTTGATTCTTGTAGAGGACACCGTGTCTGTTAAGGTTGATGTTAAGTTTTTACTCAGCAACAGGCTGAATCAAGTTTGGTTTGAAAACCTTTTTGCAGCTATCAGAGGAAAAGGTTGTCACAGAGAAAATCCAACCTTTTCCCCTGACAGCTGCCAAAAGGTTTTCAAACCAAACTTCACCCCCAATAATTATTATTGCACTAGTTTCTGTTCTCCAAATAATCTATATCTATCTATTATCTATTTGTGGTGGCCGAATTTTGCTATTCAAAAGGCTTTTTAATGGCTGCATCGATCGACATGCGGTTTTCGCCAAAAGATTCTTTAAAATATTATCCAGATCATGGCGCCCTATGTTTTTTCAGTTTTGAGACAATTTTGCTGAAAAAAGCTAAATTTCTTTATTTCGCCGATCGCTTTTGTAGGCCGACGCTTCTGTCTCTGTAATTTTAGAAAACTCGGAAGTGATATTTCGCGAGGCGCATTTTGTTTTGAGAGTATAGATCTAGACCTTCTAATTTTTTGCATCTCTCAAGATTTATTTCCCCATTTCAATAGAGTGTAAATATAGTAGGCCAATGACTTTTAGTTGATATCAGAGCACCGATCATTCCTTTCATCGAAAGGGGGCCCAGCTTGTATATATATAAAAGTTGACTTGGCAGGCTTTGTGCACAAACTCCTCCCTTATGATCTACCCCACACCTTTGAAACTTTGCAGGGGTCCACATCACCCATGTGACTAGGACCTAACTTTTAAAAAATCCTCGCAAACTGCTTTCCCCGATTTTTCCAAAATGCTTTGTTTCGTCCACACAGAGTTCCAATCTTGGGAAAGCCCGTCTTCTAAGACGCCATTGAAAACAAGTAAGGTTCACTACCCGTGCGCACTATTCCACACCTTTGAAATTCTAGAGTGTACAATCACGAAAGCGGAATAGAGAATTAATCTATTATACCAGGGTCGTTCAAAAAATGTTGTCTTCTCCAATAACTTCTAAACTCTAAACTATTCAAGATATCTTCATGAAATTTGTACACAATTGACTTTCAATATGTATGCTCTCAAACCCAAACATCAAAATCATGCTATGGTGTCACACCTTTATGCTGTTGCTGTTTATATCATAGAAGGTAGGGGTACATTGTCGCGGAGAAAATGGCGTCCAGCAAACCCATGAATGTGCGCAAAGAGCTGTTATTGAGTTCCTTACTGCAGAGGGAGCTGCACTTATTGACATTCATAGGCGAATGAAGCTTGTTTATGGTGAAGCTTGTGGCTGAAACCAGTCCAGTAGAGACCGATTTGCATGATCAAGCTCGTTGGGGTCGTCCCAACTCTGCCAGTGACCATTCAACACCAGGAAAGAGAGGATGAGATCATCAAAGCAAACCAGCGGATCAAAGTAAGAGATGTTAGTGAAATGCTAGGGATTTCTGTAGGGAGTGCTCAGCATATTATCCATGATGTGTTGGGTTACAGTAAGTGTGTGCACGGTGGGTTACCCACATGTTGTCACTCGAGCTGAAATTGAACCGAAGTGAAGTTAGTGATGAACTCCTGGCTCGTCATACAGATGAAGGTGGAGCTTTCTTACGCCATATAGTCACAGGAGACGAGACTTGGGAACACCATTTTGACCCAGAGAACAAAAGACAATCGAAAGAATACAGGCACACTGGCTCACTTAACCTCAAGAAGTTCAAAGATGTTTCACCTGCGAAGAAAGTGCTTATGACAGTGTTTTGGGACTGCATGGTCTGATTCATGTGGAATTTTTGGAACAGGGTTCGACTGTCAACTTTGAACGATATATTAAGACCCAGAGAAAACTTAGAGCAAGGCTGTCACGAGTTCGGCCCGAATAAATGCAATTTTGCACCACGACAACGCCCGTCCACACACAAGTCGCCAAACTCAAGATGCCATGAAAAGCCTCAGATTTCAAGAGACCTTACCGCACCCATCATACAGTCCAGATCTTGCTCCATCTGACTTTTATCTTTTTGCTAATTTGAAGGAGTACCTCAAAGGAAAACGTAATGCAGATGACGATGAAATTCAAGTAGATGTGCGTCGCTGGTTCAGAGGAAAACCACATGAATTTTTCGCCGACGGTATGCGACAACTTATTCGACGTTGGCGGATCTGCATCGACAAAGAAGGCAACTATATTGAAAAGTAAAGTAACTGTCATTGAGCAGACATCCTAAGCTTTTATTTGGTGTATATCTTTTGTATATAGCATCAGTAATAAAGATATTATGTATATTTGGCAACTTGTGTGTCACTTTTCTCTCGAGATTTATTGCTCCATTCCAGTAGAGTGTAAATGTAGTAGGCCAATGACTTTCAGTCGATGTTAATGCACTGATCATTCCTTTAATCGAAAGGGGGCCCAGCTAGTGGTAAATAAAGTCCTCTGACCAGTCCTGGTATGATTAGTATGAACTGCAAAAATGACATTAATCTTTTCCTCCTTAGTTTCGCTTCCAGCAGGTATAACTCAAACGCTGCACCACCTGTGCTCTTTAGAATGTACGAACAGCCACCAGTGACTTGCATTTTTATAAACTCATAATGTCACTGAAAGTAGAAGACCTGGTGCAGTTTGAAAATGTTGTTACATACGTCAGTGGGTACTTGCTATGGAAACTGTCTCCAGTTATATATATGTGACAAGTGAAAGATTGTGTTTCAGAAAAATGAAAACCTCCTTGTTCTATAAAAATAAAGGTCTTGTAGAGCCGAGTTCCTTAGATGCTTGTTGTTAGAAGCTATGGGACTATTTGAAGCTGTCAAGACTCTTTGAGAAAAGAAAATATATTGTATCGATTGGGGTGTAAGAACACATTATTTAAAAAAAAAAAAGAAACTAGACACTAGACAGCGTTTTAGCATTTTAAAACAAAGCTATTGAACCCCCCCCCCCCCCCCCCCACACACACACACAGGCACACACAAAACTAAACAAAAAAAACAACAAAAAACAAAACGAAACAGAGCAAAAGAACCTCATGCAGTCAGCGCTTGAAATGTTCAGACTGCCACTGCTATAATACTGTTGACTACACTGCGAGCAGGTTCCCCACTGTCAGAATCCATCATCATGAACTGAAGTTCCGAAACAGTGCACCGAAAAAAAAAACCCTTAGGAACAAGTACAGAGGACAGAAACAGAAACTTAAGTACAGTTGATATGAATCAAGTATGTCTCCGTCAATTTACAGGTGAGTAAATAAGAGTCACCATTCGGCCATTCGTCCAACACTGCTTTCCGAACTGAACACTCTTGGCTGGATGCACTACAAAATCTAGGTCTTGATATGTCTTATTCATTAAGTACTCTCTCTTTCTCTCTCTCTCTCTCTCTCTCTCTCTCTCTCTCTCTCTCTCTCTCTCTCTTTTCTTTTTCTCAACGTAAAAATAAATTATAGAAACACTTGACTAAATAATAATTATATCTATATCTTCGGTGATTGA